ATCCAACATAAATTTTTAACGCAGGAGGAATATAGTTTTGCAATACAAAGCTTGGAAGCAATGGAGTTTGTGTAAACAGCCAGCCACAGGGAGGCTGCGCTCCACAAACACACGCTGCCAACACAGAACACTGCCACGGCCATCTAATTCATGAGTTACTACTGTCTGTCATGCTCCAAATGTAACCCTCCACAGCACTCAGCCTCCCCACCCATGGCACCAAGCAACAGAGCCCAGGGGAGCAGCACTGTCCTGCCTCAATAGCCTGAATGGGGCTTGCTCAAAGCTGCACTAAGCCAATGGGAGGGAAGTCTCCTCTCTCCTACCATGACCTGTGATGGGCATCTCTCCCACCCCCGTTACTTAGGCATCAGGTAGGTATGACAGCTCCTCATCTCCCAGAGGAGGAATTCATTAGCATTTCTTATGCCTCATGGATTAGGGTGATGAGACACAAAAGCCCAGATCATCAATTTATTAACACCAGCACAAGCCTACAGAAATGCTAACCGAGAAACGCTACAGAAATGCTAACCAAGCCAGTGGAGATGCTTCAGATTTGCTCCAACATGACACCAGTGTGGAGCTCCTGGCATTTAAGAGTTCACCAAGCTGAGAGGTCAGCTCCTGACTTTCTGCTGGTACCTCAGGGCTCCAACCTTAGCTCCCTGTGCTAATATATACAAACCAGTCAGCCTGTCCCCTAAAGCATTCACAACCTTTGCAGGCAGGACAGAAAGAAAATGGAGGGGAAAAAGTCACAGAGAGATGGAAGCTGACACCAGAGCAGTGGCAAGGATGGAGACTGGCGCCCAGGCCAGGCTTGCAGCACACATCCTGCTCATTGCAGCAGCAATGAGAGGACTTCACCTCCCCTCTCAGGTTGGTCTCAGACTCCACACAGTCATCGCCCCACTTTTAATCAATTTGGGGACATATCATTCCCTTAGAACTCAGCTGAATATGTTCTCTAGGGCTATGCATGGTTGTTTAACAAGACCAAACCAACCGGCTACTTTAATGCACCACCCCGAGTTAGCATGTACCAAAAGAAAGTTATTATACAAGAAATATGCAAAGACTGCATTCTTGCCCAGAGTCCTTTCCTCCTCCCTCTTGGCCACAGTGATGGAGACAGTCAGCACATTCTTTGCAGATCAATACTGCACTTGAATGTGATCACCACTCCAATTACTGCCTCAATTACAGAGGCAGGAGTTTGCTCCTGCACACCTACCCCTGCATTGAAAAACCCCTATGCATATGCTGCCCATTGAAATGATACCTGTGGGAAATCATTAACCCACTAATCTGAAATCAATTTAAAGTCCATTTGCCTAATGACAGACATGCAGTAAATTATCTATAAATTGTTAATTTAGGAGAAAATGACATCACAAGTTTTGTTTTATTAATTGGCTTTTCCAGATGCAAGCTATTGCTAAAGCTTTATAATCTATGTCTCTTGGTGAGCAAACATTGAAACCCACTTAATAAGACACCTTTTATGCCAAGAAAGAGAGTAAAATGAGTAAACCTGCTCTTGTGAACTCTCCAGTATAAGGGTTTATGCATTCATCCTAGCAATTAGAGAAGGAGGAGTCATGGGGAAAGCGAGTAAAGGTCCTTGGAGTCTCTGTTCACTTTCTTGAACAAAATTGGTTCCAACCACATTTGCATTTTTCACAGGCAAAATTCCTGTGAGTGCAGAAGCCAACGCCAGCCCAGGTCACCTCTCCCAGCATCCCTGTGCCTCCTTGGCAAGGGCTCAGCCACACACACGCTGAGTTAAGAACCTCAGCTCTCAGCAAATATTTGAGCGACAGACTCATTGGCCAAAGCAGGAAATGATTGACAAAATCTGTGTCCAGAGACCAGGCTGTGATTTCTTTGCTGATACAGAAGTATTAGACACTAACTTGTCCTATCTACTTCTAGTGCAGGGCTGCAGAGACCTTCTTCAGATTATTTTCTTCTCCTCAGGTCCACAGAAGGTAAGTATCTAGTCAACTAACTCCTATTTCAGTCTCTCCAGCTGGATCTGTATCCTTGGTCTCTCATGCAATACTCCAGGTGTGAATTTCCCTCCTACCCCAGGCAGCCGCTCGGGCATCACTTGCACACCCCTCCTCAGTGTCACCCACAGAAATCAAGTCCATGCAGTTTCTCTCCCCCGTGGTAACTAGGCAACATGACTAAATTTGGTATCTACAACAAAAATAGAAGTGTAAAGAAATCAGGCTGGACTGACCCAAAGAGTGAATGCACCCGAGGACGTTGCAGCAGCGCCCAGCACAGCTTTACAGTGCAGCAGGACTCTGACAGGGATGAAAATGGGAACACAATGATTTCAGCTACAACCCGATGTCCAGCAGAACTTTCAGCACTGATTCTCCAATTTCAGTAGAATTTGAAGGGAAAAGACAGCACAAGAGTAAGGTAATGGGAGCTTGGGATACCATCAGGCAGCAGGGAGAGGCACTGCTCAGCAATGCTTCAAAGCCCAAACTTCCACCTAGGAAGAAAAGCAAAGCCACAGGATCTGTCCCACACCAAGTGCCCAGCAGCAACTTGCAGATCACCAGACGAGGCCACTCTCAGCTAGGTCTGGAGAGAGGCCAGCGAGCTCTAAAGCTGGCAGTAATACTGCTTGTCCCACATGGTGCACACACGAGGCAAGCCAGCTCCACTCCCTCTTTTCTCTTCCGGACCTTATCCAAACCCCCCCCCAGCCAGCACGAAGACTCTCAGAAGTGCTTATGAGATAAATGAAAGAGCTCTTTAGGCAGAGACCAGCCACCCCTGTGCCTGAAGAGAGGCCTGTATGCACAAAAAGCTCTTTTTTTTTAATGCCAAAATAGAAAGCTGCAATCTCAAAGCTTCCCTCTTCCATTAATGCTCTATTTAAGTCTGTTCTTGAATCTGTCTGGATTACAAACCCACCCCCTCTCAGCAAACCCCCTTCCCAGACAGCCTTTTCTCTGCTAAATAGATACTAAATATAAATATATACCAAGGAGAACTCATAGGGAAAAGACAACTGGGATTTTTAAAAGCTTCCCCTTCCTTCATCTACTCCACAAACACACACACCAAAACAGAGCTGCTTTGTTGTTTGCTTTCATGGCTCCCAGCTGAGAGCTTGTCCCTCCACTACCATTCATTGCCACAGCTCCTGCTGCACAAGTGCAGTGTTGGGAATACCCTTCCCTGGGAACAAAACAAGCCCCTCCAGCAGATCCCAGTAGTGCCCCACAGGCCAGGTGATGAATGTAAGTGTGCTGAAAGAAATGCTGCCAGATGAATGCTGGCCCTATTCCCCGATCCCCTAGTGAAACCAATCCACTTGGAAGAATTCCTGCCTGCTGATATGCTAATACCTTAAATGAGCTTTAATTAATTTCCCAACACTACTTGTGTCACACACACACCCTGTGCCAGTCCTCATTGCTGTCAGCCCCGATGTGCTGCATCGGCACCCTGCACTGCCACCCCTACAGCCCAAACAGAGGAGATGCTGATTCCCAAGGGGCCGCTCTGCTTGCCCCACTTACGCTGGGAATACATTTATTCTGCTGTGAAATCACAGCAACACCTGTTCTGATCATTTCACAGTTCCAGTTTCAAAGAAAACACTCCTAAGGTGGGGGAGACCCAATAAAATCCAGCAGCCTGCTCTTCGGAACAGCACGAGGGGAAGGTACGTGTACAAGACAAGATGTACAATCACACACCATCTCTACCCAGCCAGCACTCCTCTGCAACTCCTGCACAGCTTGGGCCAGGAACCCATCGTTACCTGCAGCACCTGAGTCATAGGCAACATACCCACACAGGGCTGAGCTGGGCTGCTGCAGCTGTACCAAAGCAGAGGAGGCTGGTACCTCCCCTCCCTTCCGCTGAATATGATTACTCCAATTCTGTGCTGGCATTAAACAAGCACATCATCTGTTCTGGCTCTCTGCTCAGAAGCCATGGCTTACAGTCAAGTCACTTGAAGCAGCAGGATGACACGCCTGGCCCTCAGGAGGGCCTCGTCCCTACAATAACCGTCATTTTCCTCCATGGCCTTCTGGTGGACCTTGTCCCCACACTCCTTTCCCTTTGAGCCATAAGCTCTTCCAATAACCCTGTTTCAGGCTGGATCAAAACAACATTGACCTGTACTGCCTTATAATCAGATGACAGACAGCAGTACCAAGGACAAGAGCTGTGCAGTGCTCGCAAAGAAACCAGTTGCGTTCAGCTCTTGTTACATGCCAGGTTTTTGACAAGCACCTTCTAGCTCTGTCCCTGATTTTTCCTTCCCAACTACCACATCTCTCCTGGAGACAAGGCAACATAACAGCCTGATGAAAAGGCTCTTGCAGTTAAGGCACCAGAGAACCTAAAGGCTGTCTCTTCCCAAGAACAATGCAAAGCCCTGCCTTGATTCCCTGGGAGCATCTTCAGTTTTATGTTTATTTTTCAATGTGATCATCAACCAAGACAGCAAAAAGACTCATCACCATCTATCACGAGCTTCATTGTTTAGTAATAAGATGTATTGCCCCCTTGCAGCAAAGTAACACTCCAGCCAGAGCTCCCATTTGTTAAGGTCTGGCTGACTGGGAAACCTGTCCACATCAATGCTGTGAACACTCCATTTGGAGCACAGACAGTAAATGTTAAGTGCTAATAAACAGGAGGGATTGCAGGCTGCTGAGCACATGCAAGGTTAGAGGCAGGTCATCACCAGCCTTCCCCAGCCAGGCTCCTTGAGCTTCTTCTGGTCCAGCGCTACCAACATCCTCCAAACACAGCAGAGCACATGGCTATGCCTGCTGAGTCATCCCAGCTCTGTCCCACACATCCCTGAACCCCATTAACCCTGCTTGGAGTTCCACAGCACAGTTACAATCACAGAGTACCCCCAGAAGACAGCCAGCAATGGGTTTGTCAGAGCCAGCGGGGCAAGGCAGGAGTAGAGACAGAGTAGCTACACTGGAGGAAAAACTTACTTGTCTCCGTGAGTCAGGGGGAAGCTGAATCTGCTTTTCTGTTGTCAGAAATGGCCTCAGCAGGTCAGACAGCAGAGAGAAAGCTTTCTGGAGAGCACTGGTGGTCTTCTCTGGTAGCACACGATGACAACCTGTGGAGGACAAAGTTAATGCTTAGGTGGGTGTTCTCTGACCTGGTGTCTTCTGTGCTTCCCAGGATTAGAGGCATGCTCTTATCTCAGGAGCCTTAATGCTCCAAAGCAGCAAAAGCCCAGCAAAACTGAGCCTCTGTCAGCAGCCAGATCAGAACTGCATACTGCTGGGTCAGAGATGATCTGTCACCACACCAGATACCTAAACACACACTGGGGCAGTTCAGAGCATGCTTTCTCTCCTGCAGCGTAAGCCAGGCCCCAAGGAAACAGCAGCCTTTCTGTAGTCCCAGCTAGGGGAACAGCTGGCTCAGCAAGGGCAGAGCCTCTACAGAGCAGCCTTAGATGATGTATGAGGGTTTCTGGCAGCATCCATCAGTGCACTTCACTGAGGTCACAGCCTCACACATTAGATGCAGATGTCAGTTCCATTTTTACGTTGGGAAATATCAAGCTTAGACATACAGAGAGAGCACTGGCAAGATTTCATGATTTATCATCACCTGTCATTCCAGGCTGGGTTTTCCCTTTGGCTTCCTTACAGCAGCTCCTTTGAGCGGTACATGAATTCCAGGGGCAGGGGACAGGTCAGCTGTTCATTCACACCTATGTCTCTGAGGAACCACAACCTTCAGGAAGGCTGAAGCATTAATGATCAACCACCCATCCTCTGCAGCCAGGCAGAGAAACGGCCAGCAGGAGCAGTCTGCCCCAAAGAGCAGCCAGTGGAACACTGTGCACCACCCAGACCTAGCTCAATGAATAGCACCTGCAGGAAAAATAAGAAGCTGGTAGAGGTTTCACAGAACTCCATCAGCACCTCAGACCGTTTCAGCTGTATCACCGTGCCAGAGGGCACAGAATGAGTCTAAAGAGAACAGGGAAAGGCAGCAAACATGACCAAAGCTGTACCTCACCAGTACCTTCCCTTGAGCACCCTTGCAGCTTAAGGAGGAGTTTCTCTTGCCAGAAACTTCCCCCTCTCCAAGCAAAGAGCTGGAAAGAAAATCCCACAGGCAACATATCCTTCATTGCTCTTGGGCTGCATATCATTCAGGAAACAACCACAAACCCAGGTGATGCTCAAGGAGATATACTGCCACTGCTCCCTCCTGGGTGACAAAACTATGTCGTCTATCAAACACCAACGCCTTGAAGCAGAGCAAAGCAGCTGTGGCAGTCAGCAGCAAACTCATCCTGCTCCTGAATGCCACCAAGGGCCAGCTCATGGCTCTTACCACTCCCCATAGCATGGAGCAGTTCCGGCAGGCAGTGCTCAATGCTGACAGCAAACTTCAGTCCAGACTCAGCCAGCCATTTGTGGGCAAGTAGCTCATGCACTGGCTGCTTGATCAATTCTCCTGCTTGTTACCCCAGCTCCTTTGTTAGCCTGCACAAAGCTGAGGGGAAGCCCAGGCCCTCACACCTTGGGAAAGGCTCCCAGGAGCCTGCACAAGCGAGCTGATGGGTTTGGGAATGGGTTCAAGTCCCTGCTGCCCCTCCATATGCCTCTGTTCAGCACAACACAGCCCTGAGCTCATTGGGCCAGAGGCCACCAACTAAAGAGGATTAACAGCCCTAGTGCAGATGTGCAGCCCCCCTTTGCTGCACTCAAAGCCCTCCTTGTGCTTTTCACTGACCACCAAGAGATTCAACTGAGAAGCCCATTAACATTTAAGAAAACAGAAAAGCATGTCCACAGAGCTGTTTTTAAAGCTCACCATGAGTCTGCCCTGCCCCAGGCTGGAAAGGATCCCATCCCTTCCGCATCTGCACTCTCTGGGTTCAGTTTGGTTAAGAAAATAATCTCAGATCACGTTATTTCATGTGGCAATTTCTTAATCACCCAACACCTGTAGTGCTCTGCAAGGCTGGAGAGCTCTTTGGTGATGTGGAATGAGGTATCAGCGCCTACACCTGTACCTGACATGATCCTAGCACAGACCATGAGACCGTGAAAATATAGCAGTCGAGCCACAGTGCTTGCTCTCAGTGCCACACTTCAGCCCTTCATTCTAAGGGCTCTGAGACAGCCGCATCCTCCACTGGAAGAAGACATGACCCAGCCTCCCTGCCATGAGATCAGATACTCAAAGCAGCATTGCAACCCTTTCCCTCAGACATACTCTGTCTTGGCTAGCCCATACACTACGTCACCCATACCTCCTCCCTTAGCAGGTCCTTACTGTTGCCTCACAACCTCCTTTTCCACAAGCAGAAGATGCAGGACATTTCTAGTGCCTGCCTAAACCACAAGTCACCCGTAACCAACCCAACCTCCTCCGCCTCCCATCACAGGCCATGCTTGCAGCACTGGTTGTGAGCTGCTGCCTTCCAGCCCAGCCGTGGCTGCGCTTCACTGGCAGATTAACCCAGCCCTCCCCTTGCACAGCTCCTCTGCTTCACATCTGGGTTTGAAACCCAGTCTTTGCTCTCCTTTCTCACCCCAGCCCAGTGCACTTCAGGCTGTATTTGTCTTCACTGCTTTTCCCCCTACCAAAACACCCAGCAAGGCATTACCAAGCCCTTCCTAGTGCTTGTTGCATCCAGCAGTCTGAAATACATTTTGATACCGAGCTCCTGGGCAATCACCTTGCTCTAACCTGAGAGCTGAAAAGAACAAGAAGAAGAAACAGGCACCATGGGCCAACACTCAGAGAAGCACAACCCACAAACCTACCCAGTTATCCCTGGTTTGGGTTCACTTCAGCTCCTGTGCCAGCTGACAGCAAGGAAAAGCCTGGCACTGAGCTTCTAAAGGCTTTTGCTCCTCATCCTCAGGCCTTGGGGAGCATTGGCTATGTGAATAAACAGCCATGAGGAGGAGAACAGAGGATGCCAGGGGCACAGCTCCCCACAGGCCCTGCTCACTGCTTGAGGAGCCACGGAGATGTGTCATCTGCCGGGTGACAAATGACCAGGGAAGGGCAGGGAGTGAATCATCCTCTCTCACTGACCTTTGTGTCAATCATCAGAGGGAGAAGGCTGCTCCTGAGCTGCTCGGCAATGGATAACGAGCTGCGGGGCCGCACAGAAGCGAGCCCCAGACCTGCTCGACACCGGGCAGTGCCCCATGGGCACCATTACGGTGCTCCGAGAGGGAAGGCGAGAGCCAGCGGGGGGGATAAAACCACCGGGGCGTGAAACCCAACCAACAAACAAAGCCCAGAGGACTCGGTCTGCCTCCGGCGCAGCTGAGCCAGACAAGCGCACGTCTCAGAGCTCCCTGTTATCGCCTGCAGCACAGGGGAGGAGGGACCGCGGATGGAGCGGGTCCAGCGGTACTCTGAGACGGGGCGAGCCAGATCCCCCCTCGTGAAGCGGCACCGAGGGCTGAGGCCGCTCCTCAGCTCGGCACGGTGGAGAGGACAGACCCCAGACGGGGAAACACTCACCCGAGCCGCTGCAGACACCGTCCCGTCGCGGCTCCCCTCAGGGCTCGCCTTAGCGGCGCCCTCAGGAGTTAACGGCAGCACCTGGGCTCCTGAGGCGCCCCCTTCCCCTCATGGGGTTCAGCCGTGTTAGCGTCTTCCCCCACAGAACAAGGGGCACGGATGAGCCCCAGCCCTCCGGCTCCCCTGGAGTCTGGACAGGCAGGGACAGAGGCACAGGGATGGGTGCTGTCGGTAGGGAGGGCAGGCTGGCTGCCACACGGGGTTCTTCGGGGGTGATTGTTCCCCTTCACAAGCACAGAATTGGAGCTGGGCGTTGGTTTTGGGCGGGAAGGAGCCCATGGGAGAAGGCCCTGTGCTGGTGGGGCAATGGGGAGGCGATGGAGGCCTCACCGTGCCACAGCTGTGTGTGATGAAGGCGGCACACCGGGCTCACTCACCTGGAGGAAGCGATGGGGCTGTGCTGAGCCTGGTGTGGACCATCCATATTAGCACAGGCCAGCAGCCCTGCATGGACAGGTTCCCACAGGTGGAAACGCAATCCCCTCAGTCTCTGCCAGCTTGAAATGAATGGTGAGCAGCTCTTGCCCCATGTAATCCATCCTCAGAGTCCCTTCCCCTGTCCCAAACCCTTCCTCAGCCCAGCAGCCTTCAATGAAGGAAGCGCTATGGAATCACTGCCCATCGCTGCTGTGCCCCAGGGCACCCCGATCCCCACCTCTGGCAGCCCTGGGCTCTCACTCACCACTGCCCACAGGTGCCTCAGTCCTGCAGAAGGAAACACTTGCTGCCCCTGTGGTCCACAGAGCCCATAGTGCCAGTCCTTGGGGAAGAGGAATGAATTGGAAGCCAACCCCAGCCTTGCCCATCAATCTCCTATCAGCAGGCTTGAGCATAACCCAACCCCCCCAACCTGCAATGCCCAGCTTCTCGTTAAAGGGCATGCATTCCTCCTTTCTGTACATACTGCAGTGTTTTCTTACTCATCAGAATATGACCCTGGCATTCCTGGTGTTCACTACAATGGGGATGTCACCAGTAGTTTTGCCCTCATCCATAGAAGTGACAACACGGGAAGCTGTTGCTGTGATGTGCGCTCGGTGGTCCCCATCCCAGCAGCAGCGTAGCCCAGGAGCGATGAGCACACCCAAATGAGAGGTATGGGGAGCAAACCTCGCTCAGCATGGCTGCAGAGGGGTGAATGCCTCACCCTCCTCCTGTCCTGCTGCTGGCCTCGGCGTGCATCCATTCAGCATGGCCCTGGGATGGGCAGTGGAGCACTTGGATGCTGCCAGCCAAAGATAGAGAGGCAAAACCTTGACCAAGGAGCAGGCAGATGAATCCCCTTCACGTGGAGTCATTGCAGGAGTGCAGTCTTCATGTACAGGAAGAAGCACGGTATGGAATGGAGGAGTAAAAGGCCTCTCTGTGACTTGGCTAAACCTCCTCTTGCAGCTCTGTGTGGAATCCTGAGCTGGCTTTTCCAGACTATCAGCTTTTGTGGATGTGGTAAATTGGCTTCAAGGAGCCTGATCTCAGCAGCTGGAGCAGACAATCTTGTGCACGTGGCCTCATCCCCACTGCATTACACAATGTGTCAGTGTTGCTCTGGCCAGCACTAGGTTTACATTGCAGCCGTATCGTGGTGATGAGCGAGGGACCCAAACGTGCGAATGTCAAAATCTTTTATTTACAACAGTCTCCAAAAATCAAGAAACACTGAAAATAGTGAGGGCAAGGAGACGACTTACAAAAGTAACACATGTACATTGGGAATTGTGCTACGTCACTCTGAGAACTGACACTCTAAGGTCTGCACACAACGTGGTGAAACAGCAGTGCCCTCCCTCTGTCCCTGCAGTGCTCACACCTCTCCTCCCCTTGGCTTTTGGACCATCCTCCCTCCCATTTGTTTTCTTCTGCTTCCCCCTGCAAACCTTGCTGCAGATGCTCTGGTCCTGGCCACTGCCTCCATCCCTGAAGGAGAGGAAAGCCAAACAACAGCATCCTCAAGATGGAGACAGGCCTTGAAAGCCTTTTAGCTCCAGGACCCTGAGTACTGGTTAGCAGCAGCCTCTGAAAAGCCTGTGACCCATGGCTTGTGTGCTGTTTGGGGTGAGGGGTGATTCTGGAACTAACAAAGAAGCTGAACTTGTCCTGCAGATCACTCAGCACAGCTTCCTTGGGAGAGAGTGTGGGAGGATTGATACGTGCCACAGGGTTAAATAAAATCCCTTTTATCATCTTCTAGAAGGGCAGGCTGCTCTGGTAAGAAAAGTCAGTGCAGGACAAGCTAAAAGAATTAGATGCAATAGAGCAATATCCCAGTTTGCTCCAGCAGAGACAAAGCCAGGACCCTCTGGAGACCACTGCATCCAGACTGCTCTATCAGTGGTATGGTAACTGTAAGCATGCCACACATCCTTCTCCTTGGGGAGACCAGGCTGCCTTTGCTCTGGCATAGTTTCAGATCCAGCAGGGACTGAGAAACACAGCCCAGTTCAGCCACTGAGCCTCTTTTGGGATCTGCAGCTTTGGCATTGCTGAGGTCAGTGGCCAAACTTGATGCCCCAGTTGCCTTACAGACCCCCTCCTGAATCCAGCACCTCAGGAGGCCCCACAGCATAAAGAAACAGAGTGAGGAGACCAGGGTCTATTCCTTTTCCTGACACTGATTTTTCAAGTCATGAAATCATGGCATGGTTTGGGTTGGAAAGGACATTAAGATCACCCAGTTCCAGCCCCCTTTCATGGGCAGGGCCACCTTCCACTAGAGCAGGCTGCTCCAAGCCCTGTCCAGCCCAGCCTTGAACACTGCCACCTGATTTTGACATGGCTCCTGTGAGCAGAGACTCTCCCCTTGAGTGTCCACAGCCATGGGGAGCCTTCAATGCAGTCAGCAGCTCCACCGAAGACAAAAGAGCAGCAACACCAGCTCTGTGCATGTATCGCAGTGCTTCAGCACTGGGCACCAGTGTTCTTCTGGGAATGGCAGGGCTGTCAGGGCGAGAGCTGCTGGTCAGGAAAGGACCTGCTCTGTTTTCTAGGAGACTGCAGAGCTCCAGGATGACTCCCATCCTGAAACACTACCAGCAACTTCTCAGAATGCAACCCTCAAAACAGGATTTAATAGAAATAAAGGAGTGGGCAGTTAACAGAAATATTCCCTTGCAGTGTGCTATAATTGAGAACTCTGGTACCTCTCTTTTTAATTGCAGCAAGATTGTTTTGAAATGGAAAATCAGAGCATTCTCTTTCAAGTAAGGCTGGTCTGCTGTGCTCTATTGTTTAAATCCATCAAAACTGACAGCTTCATATGGAGCATTTTAACTCCCAACCTGCCTCTGCCTGAGAAATCCTCCCTGAGACAATCTTCAGCCACTTCAGCCCAGACTCTGTGAGCACGTTAGGCACGAGAATCTACCACAGAGAGGGCTAATTCTTGCTAAGCAAAACAGGACCCAAGAGATGGTCTGGGAAACAGAGCAGTCATCACAGAAAGAACAGAGGCAGATAGGGGATGAATTAATTTAGGGCAAGCATCTGCTCCCAGAACAGTGCCAGACAGGTGAGGCCTTGTGTTTTATTGCTACAAGCATCTGCCTCGGGGCACCAATTCCCAGCAGGGCTGTCAGCCCCACCTTCACATTTGCTCAGATAAACCCATCCATTTTCTTACCTCTATAATTTTATGACAGTTTTCTAGTCCCAAGGAGGATGCTGCTTACATGGAGATGGATGTACACACCTGCTGATTTATTGTCTCCACAGATGCTTGAAGAAGGCTGGACCCCACCTTTAAGCCTCTTTCACTCCATGGTAGATGGAGAAAGCACCAGCTACCCTGACCACAGAGCTGTGCAGAGTGAAATAGTGATGGGACAAATGGCTAGCTAGATCTTAAGATAAGTGTATGACTATATTCAATCACATTTTGAGTCTTGGCAGTGAGAAGAATCAGCCAGGATCATCTCCTGGCTCTTCCACCATTCTGCTGCAGTCTGGTGTAAGTTCCTCCTCCTCTCTTTACCTCAGTTTCCTTGCTGGAGGGGCATGATCTCTTCACTATGCTTTTGTGAAGAATCTGCTACAGCTCTACACTTACCTCTGTTTGACACTTTCCCTTCTGAATTGCTCCAGCCGTGGCTCTCCCAGTACCACAAACAAGGGCAAGGTGATGCCTTGATGGCTAATCCCAGCAAGCCCTTCTGCACTGAGTGAGCCTGGGCTGGGCAGAGAGGAGGAGGGAATATGATAACTTGGGTCCTTTTCTCCTGCCTGCTCTGGAAAACAGGACAGATCCTGTCAGGTGCCAAGAACTCTGCTATTTTTGTCTGTGGATCAGACCCTGCCAGATCAGACCCAAGAGACTTAAAAGGTTTCCTGTGACTTTGAAATTAATCTTTGCCTTCCAAGAGTGGCTCAATGCATGGTCCCAGCATGGTGTGTTCAGGATCACTCTGGGGGCAGGGGGGTTTACAGAGCCTTTTTATAACATAGAACACCAGGGGCTTAAATGAGCTTTAAACTTTGCAGGATTCAATGCACATCTATGCCTTGTCTTAAAGGCCTTTCAAGGTTTCTTCATGCCCTCAGAAGAAGGAACTGCCTCTAAGGGTGCAGTCAGCACCTTATTCTCTTGTCTGGTGACCTGGAAATATCCATCAGATTTAATCACCCCAAGGAATTGGAAGCATCAGCTAAATTCAGGTCAAGCCACCAGCCAGAGCACCCTTAGCAGCAGCACTAGGGCCACCTTTCTCACCCCTGCAGCACCCACACAGCCACATGGGTCTCATCAGCACACTGCTCTCTACGGTCACTGCCACTCACTGAGGACATCACCAGCAGTTCAATTTGGAGGCCAGGTGAAAGCCTGGCTTACAGATCAGTGCTGGGGCTGAACCGTGCACAGCAGCACAGCTTAAAGGTAGTCAAAAACCCTTTCCAGAGCCCTTTATTCACGGCCATGGGGTTTATTATGAAGGAGCTGGTGCAGATGAGGGGTCAGTGCCAAGGAACATTTCACACTTTGCAGGAAAGGGTAACTCGCCTGCACCATGGAGTGGTGAAGAAGAAACCAGGTTTGTTCTGCTTGTGCTCTCACCACCCTCACTGCCTGCAGCAGGATTGCTCTGGATTGCCCCTAGCATCAACAAGAGTCCTGTCCTGGCACTCTTCTCCAGCTGACACCTTGGGGAACCTCCTTTAAGGACAAGCATTTAATCCAGTCTCCCAGGAATGACATGATGTGAAGGTATAAGACTGGCAGGGATCAGAGCAGGGATGCATTGAGGCAGGGATCAGAGCTGGGATGCATTGAGCCAAGCAGAAGCAGCTGCTGGTCTTTCTCAGCAGCACAGTCCTCAGAACTTGGCTGACAATGGGGATGGGCTTCCTGGAATTCTCATCTTAAAAGGGGGGGTCAATCCAGACAGAGAATACAAAGCCACCAAGGACATAATATCTGCAAACAAATGAAGTCACGCTGCTTTATCTCCACCCCCCTCTATTGGCATCCCTGTAAATAATGTTTAATGCATCTCCAAGTGGGCCCAACCCCTCCTCTTCTGCCAAGGGCCAGATGTGCTGCATATCAATACACACACTTAGCTATTTCAATTTTAAAAATATGATAGAATCAGTGATGCTTAAAATGTACTTGTTAATGGCAGCAGTTTGTGACTTCATTTTACTGTAATATAAACCATCTGCTCCGAGCAGGCAGCAGCTGCAGGCTGAAGCTCTGCTGCCCTCCGGTCTCCATAATGGAGGGACATCCTAAAGCTCATTCGGGGGTTGGAACTGGGTGATCTGAAGGTCCTTTCCAACCCAAACCATTCTGTGATGCTATCCTCAGGTTAAGACCAAAAGGCTCTGCAGGGGCCTCAAGGCTGTCTGCTTTCTCTCTACCCTAAAGAACACCAAGATGAAGGAGACGAGGGCAGGCTTCTGAGGGCACTGACTGCTTTCCTGTTGGCTCTTCACAGACCCAAGAGATTCCAGAGAAAGGTGCACTGACCCTTCAGAAAGAAAGGGAAAGCCGTGCCTCCTAACACCCTCCACAGACGAGGACAGCAGGCGGTGCCACCCAGCATCTCTACTTCAGATCCCACAGTGACAATCCCATGACAAGAGCTCCTCTGCAGCAAGTTCAATGCTGGTTTAGCTTGGGCACAGGGCACAGCAAAGGGGTCCAGACAACCTATTTCCCAGGCCCATCCAGCAGCTCACTGCTGTTTCCCAAGGCTTGGGTAATGAGGCACAGGCTTGGTATGGGGGTAGGACATCACCTCAAGAGTCACTGTTGCAGTGCTGACCAAGGGGAGAGACAGAGGGAAGGGTTTAGAGAGGGAGCAGATGGCCTTCCCAACTTCTCCCCTTTTCGCTTTGCCGTTCCAGAAAACTCTTCATTAAAAAAAGAGAGACAAAAAGGAAAAGGGAAGAAAAGCAAAGCAGAAAGAAAACTGAGAGGAGACCTCTTCCCCTCCTCCTCACAGGCTGAGGCATCTGCTGGACAGCCCTCACTGTCCATCATCCATCACTACCCAAAATAAATACAAGTTTAGAGCAAAACCCATTAGAAAATAAAGTGCATCTGGAGTTGAAAGACTTCTGGAAAAGGGGTGTTGGTTCGGGTTTTTTTTTTTTTAGGGCTTTTTTCCTCTTTTTCTTACAAAAAATATCCTTTAAAAAAAAAGAGAAAGAAAAAAGAAAGGGAGCAAGAGGACAGAGCACATGGCTCTTGGCATAGGGTCTACAGGGCTGTCCCATTGGGGAGAGGGATCTTAAATCCACTCTTCAGCAGGACGAGGCAGATGCATAGACCCAGGAGGCCAGCAAGCAGCACCCCCACCACAGCCTTGAGGCAGGAAGTCCTGCTGCGGGTGAAGGTGCCGGGCCCCATGATGCTGAGCAGGGCTGTGCTCACAGTTAACGTGTACAGGATGGAGACTCCCGTGTTGAGGGCCACGATCTTCCCAAACTTGGCGAAAGGGGCGATGATGCAGAAGAAGAGCGGGACGGTGGCAATCACGGTGGTGACGGCGCTCGAGACGATGGCCACCCCCACGTGACGCACGGCTTCAACCGTCCTCCACTGGCGGCACGCTCTGGGGTCCTGCCGAGGGACAGCGGTGTTAGGGGCAGTGGGGACAAGCACATGGGGCTGCCCCCTCAGTGGGGTTCACTGCACGCAGGTGCACATCGGTCTCTGACCAGGCAGCTGGACAAGCAGCAAGCATTCCGGGCATGCTGTGAGGGTGGCAAGGCACATCCCCTCTTGCCCATTGGGCTTGAGGTCCTGCGTCACAGGGCATAAGGGGAATGGATAAAAGGCTATAGGAAGGAAAGAGCTCACCTCTGCTTGGTGCAGTGGCAGGTTTTCCCCTGCCAGCAGGTAGCCCTCCACCAAGTGCACGCAGTAATCTACAGAGGAACCAACAAGGATGGAGAGGGAGATGGCTTCCACAGCACCCATTTCCCAGCCAGACCAGTACATGATGGTCACCACCAAGCAGACCACCCCTGTGTGAAAAACATCGTGTTAGGCACACTTAAAGGAGTCTGGGACTGCTGGCCAAGCCCTGTTGATACAAGTCAGTCACTGAGGTGTTTGGGATCCTACCCCTGCAGTTCTGCACTCCAGCCTGTCCAAATCCTTTATACGCTCCCTGCAAACACTTCCTTGCCTTCTATTGCCACAGGGGCCATTCAGTAAGGGACCTGCTGGGGATACTGATATGGGACAAGAAAAGGGGCTGCTTTGGCAAAACTGATGCTAATCTAGACTAAGGGTTATGAATCCAAGCCCAGGCAAACGTGCATGTGTGCACATGTGCATTGCAGGAAAGAGGGCCCTTAGTTTTGCTTGCTACAGTTACACACAGGCTGTGCTCACACACAGGCTTTCTTAAAGGCAAGAGTGACGTTTGTGAGCCATGTGTGGGAGCCTAAAGTGGTTTCAAAATGACAGATTTGATTTTTCAACTGCAAAGTTTAGCAACACACTTAAACCACAATCTCGTCAAATCACCAGCCAGGGAGAGGGAACTATTTACACATTTGCTTCAAATACTAACAAACCCATTAAAATATTCAGCTTTTCAAATCTCCCACTGCTTGGAAACAGCAGCCGTGGTGCAGATCCTTAGGAAGTAGTGCAATTGTGATTCAGAGCATGTGGGACTTAATCACATTATTATACATAACAGGCAGGGATGGCGTTTGTGTTGCTAAACCCCTTACTTAAACAAACAGGAGGGATTGTGTAGATAAAGCACACTGGGAATTGAATCTTTCCCAGTGTGCGTTTGTGGAGTTTCTCCCATTCACCTGGGTGCTTCCAGGACTAGCTCCTGGAAAGCCAAAAAGGTTTACTCAGAGTAAGAGCAATGCAGTTAAAATCAGCAGAGACTCAGCAGTGCCACAACCCACCAACGTCAGGCAAAGGGAAAGCTTAATACATTGGAGCTGTGATTTTACCTAGGATACTGAGCAGCACTGGCAGCAGCAGGAGGATGTGAGTGGTGAACACCGCTACTGCAGCCACACAGATAACCAGGGAGAGGACGAGACCGTACAGGGCACTCTGCACTCCTGCAAGAGAAGAGCCACCTAGTTTGACTCCTGGAAGGTGACAGTTGGGATGAGAAAGGCACCATGTCCCTTGCTAGCAACAAGTCAGGCAGGGACTCACCCTGGGGAACACAGGAAGGGGAGGATTAAAGTGGAAAGCTGGTGATCAACTTTTTGTCTCTCACATCAGCAGGGTAGAGCGCCTTCCCTCCTCTATTTCCCTAGGCTCTGCCTAGGATTTTGACAGTGTACTCTGCTTGGAGCAGAAACAGGCTGTACGAGTTTGCACAGCAATGGTAAGGGACTGAAGATACAACATGTGCCCATCAGATGGGATGGAGTGTGCAGTGAGGATGTATCAGAGAGCATGGGCTCCTCAGGGACTGAACCATGGCAGTCACTTGCCTATGATCTCCATGAAGATCTGCTTCCAGTGCTCACAGGTCTGGAAACCGTGCCGGAGAGCAGAGCCCTCTGGGAAGAGCTGGAGCTGCTGCTGTAGGAACGTCTCCCATTTCAGGTAGTCAGCATACGTCTGGAAGGAAGATTTCCCTTTGTAGGTTGTCTGTAACAAGATGAACATGTTATTCTCGTGTCCTGCTCTTTTGGGCAGTGTATGCGTTGTAAGGGAAGAGGTAGAACAAACCAGCTGGAGTTGCAGTGGCTAATCTGCCATGAGCTCTTTGCCTGCACTCCCATGATAAGAGCAAGCTGTGGCATAAGTAGCCACTTCTACCACCTTGTGAGTGCAGACATTTGTCTGCAACAAGGCACAAACACTACATTATGGCTGCAAATGAGTAGCCAGAGTAGAAGGAGCAGAGCTAAACCCCCAGAAACAACAACGAAGTAACTGCTCAGGACAGATGATGATGCCATGTGCTCACCGATTCAAATGCCATGGAGATCCACTGCACCTTCCCATCCTTCACCCCCACTGCCCCATGAGAGAGCTGTCCAGGCAGCAGGTTTGGCTCAGGGATGTTCTTGCACTCAGGGTGCAACATCTGCAGAAAGGAGGAGATGCTGTAACCTGGAAAGAAAGAAAAAGCAAGGGATGGAGGACAGGGAAAGGAAGCACACTAGAGCAGGGGGAGAACCTGACCCACAAAACCAGCCCAAAATCAAAACCAAACACGCACACAAGAGAAACAGGCCCCATTTGCCAGTGGCTGCTTCCCCTTGCCAAAGCCCTTGAGGTCTCAGCACCAGAGTGCTCAGCTGCTGCTAGCTTGAAAAGGCACTCTGTGCCATCAGCACTGGACAGGACACCACCACTGCTGTTTGTCCCCAGCTGTCAGGAACCAGTACAAACAGCAAGCACTGAGGAGCTGTCTGCCTGGCCTGGCAGGGGTCTTCTCCAGGCATAAGACTGGCTTTGGCTGAAGCCAGTGTACACTCCCTAGACTCATCTCCACAGCCTTGTGACCTCTGAAGCTGGAAGAGACAGTCACTGGTTAGAAGCCACAGGGGCAGTGAATAGCCTCATCCCAATGAGATCAGGAGTTATCTGATGGTTATTCAGGAGCTATTGAGGAGACATTTACTTGTCCAAAAGATTGTATCACAAGCAATACCTAAGACTGGAAAGAACAGATGCAATTCTGTTCTTCTTTACACTGGATTAAATCCTGAAGAATATGCTCAGTGTCTTTGGAGTTTAAGAGACCATTTCTCTTCTGTCCTAGAAAGCATGATGAGGGGCCTGTTCTAGACGGGTAAAATTGCCATGGAAGAAAAGGAGGCAGCAAGAATCAGTCACCCTTTCTGGTTTGCTGTTGAGGACCCCAGCCCAAACAAACACTGCTGCAAGCAGAGCTGATATTCCTGTCCCACTTGCTCTGTCTTTCTCAACCCCAAAACAGTTGGCACAACACATGGAAGCATGAGGTGAACGGCTCATGGAGACGGGAGCTGTGACTTAAGCCAGGTGGAAACAGGTAGAGCTGTGCTGCAGCCAGGTGAGGAGAGCTGACTGCCAAGAAATGCCTTTCCTCCTTACACTGCCTGTATCCACTACTGACTGGCACCTCCCCTTTCCTTTCCATGCTTTATCAAGCCAGATCTGAATGTTTAAAAGCCCTCAGCAGCCACACTCCTCAGACTGGAGGGCAAGAACCAGTCTCCACCCAGGGACCCAGGATCTCCCTAAAGACTCTGTGCTGGTGTTGGTCCTACCTACCCGAGGGCAGGCACTGAGCCCCTCCTGGCTTCACCAGCTCCGTGTTGCTGGCGATGGCTTTGCAGAGGCGGCACAGGTTGCCAATCTCTTTGAAGAGGTCAAAGCTGTCATCGTAGATAACGCTGCCCTTTCACAAGGAGACACAACGACAAGAGAACCACATGTGAGGCAGATACACAGCAACTGGCACAAGAAGGCAGAAGCTGAAACCTCTCCTGGCTACACAGCCTGGGACTAGCTTGCACAGACCAGTCTGTATGGTGGCAAAGCCCACCAGACATCTTTGCCTTACTGGATAACACGGGAAGAAAGTACATGTGATAACACAGGAAGAAACTACATGTGTCCCCCCAAAAGTCAGGCAGTGTGACAGAAGCACTGATAAATGAACAGGCACCGTGCCCCAAACCATTAGGGTCTGCCTAAGGAGCAGCTCTGAATGCCTGTCAGTGCTCCAGCTTTGTGCCCACTCCACTGCCTGCATTTCACAGTGCCCCCTTCAGAGGAAACAAGCAGAGGCTGATCCTGCAGCAGTGCCCCCACATAAGAAGGTAGGAAGAGCAGAAAGCTGAAGTGCATCTGCCAAGAGACCAGAGTGAAGCATGAGTTCTCTGGGGAAAAGCAGTGAATGTGTCAGGGTATCAGCTCTGGGAGATGAGCTGTTCCTTCAAGAGTCACATTTAGTAACCTTTCCTCTGAGTAACTGATTTGTATTTTCTCATGTTAATGCCTCAAAACAAGATAAGCAATTATAGAAAACATCAGCTCCCTGGATCTTCAATTTGCAGGGAGAATTTCATACTGAGCTCAAGATGGGTTTGCTTCTAAACTGCTCAGGAAAGCCAAACTGAGGCTCACAACTAGAAGGTTAGATACTGCACTCAGAAAGGGATTTTCTGGAAAGTCTGAAGTGATTTCAGCAAGGGCTTCCTGATTTCCATTACTTGTGAATTTGCTAAAGATAGCAGTGTACTCTTGACCCCTCACAGTGTGACCATGTCTGCTATTCCATCTGTCTAGACCACCAGACCATGCTGCCTATGCTGTGGGGATTAAGTAAACACCATCCAGAGAGGCCACCCTTCACTCATCAGCCCTCAGCATGCAGAATGTGTGTACCATGTCTCCAATGACGTGGTTGTCCAGGCGCCTCGTGCGATTAACACCTCTGATACCAAACACCACGAACACCATGGCTCCTGTGTCCACCAGCGGCCGCACCGCCGGCTTCCCGCAGCCTGTGTTCATGCAGGGATTAAACCCAGAGGTGGCTGACAGCTTTGCTTTGGATGCTGCTGGCAAATACAGAAGAAAGGTTGGTTACATCAGAAGGCAGCAAAAAACCAGGTCTGGCTTTGTGGACCTGACAGCCAGGTATGGCTGAAGAGGTCCTCATCTGCTTACCTTTCTCACTGGGAACATAAAGGATGCCTTTGGTGGGTCCATCTGGGCTAGAGCTGAGAAGACACCCAGGAGGTGCTGCACACACTCGGCCATGGTAAGGGGGCTTGTGCGACTGGGCGAAATACAGCTTCCTGTGCAGCAAAGAAAGTTTGTTATGGGGACCAGAGGCAGTAAAGACATGTCCAAAGCATTACATGGAAACAGTGCTCAGTGACAAGGAAAGGAAAGGTGAGCAATCTGAGGCCTGGATCTCTAATCATTGCATATTCTGTGCTGCCTATTGAGTCCAAGAGTTCAGGTGGGTAAGGGCATGATCAAGATGGGCAGTGTCTTTCTGACACCCAAAGAAGCCCCCAGTCACAGTCCTGCCCCTGTCAGGCCTTTAGCACTTTAATGATATTACAGGCTTGCAAAGTAACTTTGTAAAGATGGGGTACATATATAGCAAAGCACCAACAAAGGGCAGGACTGGCACAGGACATTAGGCAAACCATCTCAGCCACTCAGCTGTGCCGGTTTTGCTGCCTGCCCCCGGGTGGGTTTTGGAAGGTTACCGTGTTCGCTGCTGCTCCTTGGCGGCCACGTAGAAACTGAAGTCGAACTTCCAGCCTCTCTTGGTGTCACAGGACAAGGTGGTCATCATCCACTTCCTCGGGCTCGTCTGCTTAAGCAGCCCTACTGTGGACACACAAGCTGTCAGCTTCCTGGTGAAGTTACCGAAAGGCACTCTATACACCTAAGCAATGGATTAATGAAAACAGACACTTAACTCCACAGGGTTGCAGCCTGTTGCACATCAGCATCACACACTCCCCTCCTCCCTGAGCACTGACACAGCCACACAGAATGAGCACTGCAGGCACAAACCCAGCCAGCCCCCAGCCTGCCTCATCCCCAGTGTGTGATGGGGCCCCTCACCACCCCCATTCTCTGGCCTAGGCTGAATGGTGGCTGCTTTGCCCAGGGTGAGGAACATCTGAAAGCGAGTCCTCCTGGGGGTGTGTGACCAACATGGCCTGTGCACAAGCAGTGTTGGCTGCTTGCCTGTGTCTGTGGATGGACAGGAGGCCGTGAGCTGTCCCAATACCAGTTCCTACTAGAATAGCTCAGCTGATGATGCCAGGCCTCATCTGATCTCCACAGACACCCACGCTTCTGCTCCTGTTGCTAACAGGCACATCACACTAACAGCAGGTTAGTGCAGTAAGTGCACTACAAGGTGTCATCTTTACCCATGCAGGGCACAATGATCTCTGTGTCAGCACCTTGCTGCAATGCCCTATGAGCCCATGAAACTTCACCCTGAGCTACCTACAACCCCATGGAGAGACAGGAGGAGGCTCTTGGGCTCACCTGCTGAGTGCTGCACACCTGATAGAGGGGTCCAATACCCCTGGAGTGACTCACCTGGAATGAAGGCACCTCCCCGTCTCCCGGTGACACCATCTGCCAGGGGGCAGGGACACTGGCATTGAGTGAGAATCTGTAGACAGCCGGCCTTCCCTTGCTTCTGGACTTGGAGATGTACACAGTGCCCTGGAGATCTGAAGAAGACAGAGGGTATGAGGGCGAGCGGTACTTCTCAATCCCTGAGTCCTACAGACACAGACAGCACCAAAGCAGAAGGCTCTTCTGGTCTGTTCTGATGTGCCATCTCCTGTGGGGCAGCAGGCACAGGCTCTGCCTTCCAGCAGCACAGCACAGCTTTCACAGGTTTTCACAAGTATATCCTAAGCTGCAGTAATTCCTGATGGCTTAACTGATTCATGTCAGCTTGGGACCTGGCCCAACAACTCTTTTATCCTCAAAATCCCCTGCAAAGCAGGCTGAATTTGTGCTCCTCATGGCCTGTCAACAAGGTTTTGACACAGGACAGGGATGCAAAAGCTCTGAGCTTCTGGTTCTGTATGCAGACCAGAGGGATTTGTCACTATACTGCCATCAGGGTTATAGGACCATGACCTAGAGAGCAGCAGGCATTCAGGGGAATGGGAACTGCAACATGCCCCTTGCATCCAGCACTAGGGCTCAGCAGGACAGGGGCTGAAGAGATCTATTCCCCATCAGCTCTTCAGACACCCTGTACTTCAGTTTTTCACCTGAGTGGATCCCTGGGCCCTGGATCCAAACGTGGTCAGAGTTACCATGCCCACTTACCTTGCTGCCCTGTATCACTTATGCTCCCTTTGCTTCCCCAGGGTGACCCTGAGCCCCTCTTCTTCTTTTCCAAGGAGGTTCGGATGTTGTTCTGCAAACTGTGGGGCTTTTCCTGAAACAAACCTGTCCCACAAGGTTAGTCAGGAAGGAAAGAGTGACTGGCCTGACAAGAGAGCTACCAGCTCTGCACACACTGCTATTGAACTGTGCTATCGAACACCAAACCCTTAGCAGGGAACAGAGGCGCAGCCCCTCAGCTGCTCACTGGTGTGTCACCAGCATATACAAACAGGCAGTTTTCATTGATTGTAAAGGAACTGCTGCAGCAGAAACACTCAGGCAGCTCCTGACTAAAGCAGGAAACAAGTTTCAAAACACTCCACTCCTACAGGCCACCCGAGCATCCCTCTCCCCATGTGCAATGGGATATTGGAACGTCAGCCTCTAGCTCACATTTCAGCTCCTTCAGCCCAGGGCTTAGGCCAGGCTGCACCCACCACGGTCTGGGCTCCAGCACTCTCACCTGAGCAGGTAATGCAGGAGATGCCTTCAGCACTGAGGTTGTATTTGAGGTCTAGCAGCACCTGGATGTTAGTGTCTGGTCGGAACAAGACCGGAGCACGGCTAGCTGGATGGAGGCGGCTAGCAAAGAATATGGACAGCAGCAAAACCAGGAGAAAGAGCCCTGCAAGGAGAAGACCATAAGTGTGTGGGACCCTATGTGCATTTTGCTCCTCGGCCATACTCAGACAACAGGGTTCTGGCAGAAAGAGGGTATTTTGGAGGAACAGCTCCTCAAGCACACTGGCAGCTGGCCTGCCATGCCTGGAAAACCCCATCAGGGCTTGCCATGTCAGATCTGCCTGAAAAGAGAGGGTTGGAAAGCATCAGAGTTCCTCACACAGTTCCCTTAGGGACTGACTGTTCCTGGGATACTTTCCCACTGAGCCAGAAGCCAAGTACTGTGTCCCTTTTCACAGTCTCTTGACATTAATATTCAAGGCTTAGAGACTGATTAAGATGCTGTTAAATCCTCTAGAATCCATGCAGATGGAATACCCCACTCCTTCCTTACCCACAATCACCCATCTCCTCTTCACTGCAGACCACAGCACCCACTGTTCCAGCAGCTCCTGCAGGCGAGTTATCAAGTGGCCCCGGTTGCCCTTCTCTGCAGGCAGCTGCAGATTTTCTGGCATCACAGATACTAAGGGGACATCCCCCATTTCCAGGGAAACTAGAAAGAGAGAGAAATCAAAGGTATCTCAGTGCTCAGTGTCATGAGTGTCTCTCATAGCTTTCTGCTCTCCTTTACAGCATCTTTTGCAAGGTGCTGTACAACTCACTCAAGCTAAAGACGTGGAGTAAGACCCAGGCAGAGGCAGTGACTGCCACAAGAAACATCCCTGTTGAGTCACTGCATGCGACAGCTACACTTCTAAATCCATAGCTCAGTCCAAAGCCTATGCTTCAGGCTGTTCTTCCTCTGCCAGATCCCACTGGAATTGTCCATAAGGTCACAGAGACACTGCATGTTTCTTGGGCCAAGCAAAGTTTGTCCCTGTGCCATGAAGCATGTCTCACAGCTAATTACACCCTTCCTGACAGCAGCTTGGCCACTATCTGATGTCTTTAGCTCAGGGATGCTCAGGGAACTGTCCTCTGCAGGTGAGAAGTGGGCACTTAGTTGTAGCAGGGTCCGTGTGCCTGGTGTGTTGCATAGCTGACCTACAAACCATGCTTGGTCACCAACTGGAACAAGCTGCTTTGCTACTGCACAAGTTACCCAATGCCCAAGGGTCCCTGGAGAAAAGCATCCTGCTGTTGGCTCTGCTCAAGGGATGGGAAGGGGTTATTTCCATACATTACCATTGCACATGGCTCTGGCATACTAAGGAGGCAGCTCTTGCAGCAAAGCTTAGCTGTCTGCCTTCCAAAGGCAGCTCAGGGGCTGCTCTGCAGGGAGAGGCTCCACACATTGCTGTGCGATTGATGCGCTCTCAGCTGTGGATCCATTTGCTTCCAGTTCCAGGTTGCTGCTAGGCCTGAAAGCTACTCACTGCCCAGACCTCTTCTGTTGGGTGTTTTAAAAGGAAGAGATCCCAGCAAGTTTTAAAAGCCAAGTACAAGAGCATGGCCTTGTAAGCACCCTTAGCTTTGATCAGGGCTGGAAGGATTATCTCCTGCTAACAACACACAGGGAATTTCTAGGCTCTTCTAGATTACTTATGTAGTCCCTGGCAAGTAACTTCTGCCTACTTGCTGTGACTGAGGAGATGCCGTGAGGAGGTGATGCAGGAGAACAAAGTGTTCTCTCTCCTGCTTCCCAAATGTAGTGCTCTGAATGGCACTACATACATACATACAGGGAAGAGAGAAAAACCCTGCTCAAAGGTGAGCTGTCCTGGTACTACAGATTAGATATTTCATGGCTGTATCCATGTCACAATCAGTGCTTTCAGCTGGGAAGTACAAGCCACATCAGACCCAAGAGGATGAGCAAAGTACATATCAACACCCACTGAAGATCTCAAAGCAGTTTACAACCATTAGCAAGCGCAGACCTCTCCGCCTCCTGTGACAGCACAATCTCCAGCTTAAAAGTAGGGAAACTGAAGCATGGACCTGAAAAACTGCAGGATGAACGGGGCAGTGTGGTCCCCAGGAAGGTTCTACACAGCAGGCACATACCAGGCTCCTCCTCCACACTGAGCAGTGGGATGTCATCATCAAGATAGGGAAGTGTCTCTCTGCCTGCTCTGGAGGTGGCCTCTGAAGCAATGAAGAGATCTTCAGCCAGGTGCAAGGCACTCTTCTTGGTGCACTTCTGATTACAGCTGGATTGGAAGGAGACAAAGGCATGAGTTTCAAGCCACACATCCTGCAGAGTTACCAGTGACAAGGAGAGGAGCAGCAGCCTGCTCTAATTATTTGGGGAAAACAACAGGCACTGCCACAAGCCATTTCCATTGCTAACTGTTGAAAGGTCAGGGGCTGAGCTGCTATGGCAAAGCAGTAGCAGGCTGGGTTGGATCCACAGAGCAGGGCTGAGGCACCAACACTGGATGCTGAGTGATGGCAGTTTCAGCAGTTCATCTCCTTGCTAATGCATTAAATCAGGCCAGGTCATCTGCAGTGGTAAGGAGCAGGGGAAGGGGAAATGTGCTGACTTCCAAGAACAAATCTGCATGCCCTGCCTGTGCTCAGTCAGGAGCAATGCTGATCTCTCTGCCTTGCAGGGCTTGTGTCTCCACAGCTTGAGGATGTAGCTGTGCAATAAGTGCTCTAAGAACACAAATGGCTCTAATACTCCACAGATGCAATGAAGAGGTATGACTGGCAGTGCAGAGTCTGGATCCTTGGAGGCACATGTGTGTGCACTGGGGGAAAGAGACTGGGGCCTGGCCCTTCCATTTTGGTCCATTCTGGAGTGGTAGAAGTTACATTTCTCTTCTCTAAGGGACTAACAGGGAATGGTAAAACCAAGCTGCCTGTGGGGGTGAGGATAACTTAGAAGATGGGGCAAGATTTGCACAGCCTTGGCCATGAGTTCCACAACAGCATCTCACCTACACAAGGAGGCTCCAGAGCTCACCTGGTTTGGCAGGAGCTCTCTAATGGGCACACATAAAGGGTCCATATTCCAAGAGCAGCTGGCATGGTGAAGAGCACAGCTACCCAGCAGCAGGACACAATCAGTGACATGAAGAGTCCAAAGTCATGCACGGCTGGGATCTACAGGATGAGAGAACATGGATTAACTGGGGCAGGACACCTGGAGAACCACCAGGCTAGAAAGAGGTATCTAGAGGATGAGAATAGCACGTACAGATCTCAGCCATGGTAGTTAGCTGAGGTAAAGAGCTGAGCTGGAGCCTGACAGCCACTAGATCCTGTTAGATCAGTGGCACAGGAAGTATTCCCTTTGATACTGATACAGGGAGAGTGTCCACTGCCTTAGAGCAGGTAAAGGACAGCCCTCTAGGGCAAGTAAGCCCTGTGTTGGAGCAAAGGGCAGAAAGATGGTGGTGGCAGCTTCCCTCTCTATTAGATCCTCTGGCAGAAACACAAGGCTGCACATGCAAAGCTGCAGTGTACCTGAGAGAAGATGTTGGCAGCATACGCTGCAGCCGTGGTCAGGGATGTGAAGAAGGTGGCCTTCCCTGCTGTCTGGATGGTGTGGATCATGCGCAGCCGCAGGTCCTTGAGGTGGGTGGCTTGGCGGTAGGTGTTGATGAAAACAAAGACATCATCAACCCCTGGGAGAAGAGGGGGAAGATGGTGATGCTCTGCTCCCAGCAGGGACACAACCTAAAGATCCCCTCAACATCTGACCTGCAAATATCTCACTTGCAGGTGATGGAGAGAAAGGGCTTGAAAATTCAGTCTGCATTTGCCACCATCACCTGCAGGCAGGAGTTATGGCGAGGCAGCACAGGGAGGTTTTGAGTAAGGACGTGCTTACCAATCCCCACAATGACAAAGGCAGCCACACCATTGAGTATGCCCAGGTACTGGATCCCAAACACGACGTGGTACAGGAACAGAGCCACCAGGCAGCTTAGCCCAATACTGGCAATGCCAAAGAACGACAGGAACACTACAGGAGAAAAGGAACATGGGAAAAATATAGCACGACAGGCCACCCCCTGGGAGAACAGACACCTCTCACCTGCCCCGTTGGGATACTTGCTTCCTAAGAGTGCGCTGGTGACAGAGAATAGATCAGGGCTGCAAGAGCATCTCTTCCTATGAGGCCCATCCATGAAATTACATCAGCTTTACACCAGCATTGTTAGCAAGATGGAAATCTGCATCTTACTCCTGCGAGCCTTCCTCCCACCCTGCCCACTAAGCCCTGCTCTGGAGAATCAGACCTGCACGTCCTTCTGCATGCTTCTGGGCCACAAAGCCAGGCTGGTGGGAGGCACCAGAGCCTGAGGCTTGCACAGACACAGGGAGTCAGAGCCCATCTGGATCTGTGTGAGCACAGGGCAGCTGTGGCTAGAGCCTACCTGAGCAGGAGGTGAGGATGTAGACCAGGACAGCTATGCAGCTACTGCTGATGAAGGCCAGCAACATGTCATTGTTGAAAGTCCTCCTCACTTCATAGTCAAACAAGTCCGTTCCTCCATAGAGCACCTGGACTTTGCTAGGATGGGAAGATAAGAAGAGGAATAGGAAGAGCTGAGTGTACAGGGAGCAGAGTCGAGGCATTTGAAGCATGCTTCCAGTGTATGGTGCGTATTTGGCACTAACAGACAGCTCCCGAAGCCTCCAAAGCCAATTCCATCTGGAATCTTGATTGCTGCTCATTATATTAAGCACATAGGTAATAACCAGCGGATGCAGGCAGAGTGAGAGCTTGTCAGAAAGCATGTGATTTACCAGCTTCTGCTTCTGGAAGCAGGCACTGAGCGGAAGTCATCCAAGATAATTTCACCAGGAGTACAATAATGCTGCACCATAGGAAGCTATCCGGAATCCCAGCTTCAGAACTGAGCCTTGGCCCCAATTCCCTTCTGGCTTCCCATAACTGCAGCCCACTCTGCCAGCCCGTTGCTGAGAACACTCTGTGGCTGGCTGCATTTCACTCTGCTTTTGAAGATCCATATCCCTTCGTTTGAGGAGCTATTGAGATTCAGAGCAGCAGGGAGCTGGAGAAGGTGCACTGACACTGGGACTCACTGCCTTCCCTCAGCTGTCTGGATACTGGGCTGCTTGTTTATCCCTTTTAGCTCTATTTTACCATCTCCCTCTCGCAAGCACTGAGCAAAGCTCTCTTCAGAGTCATACAGGTGAAAAATCCCTGTATTTCCCGAAACTTCTCCTGCCCTGAACCAGCCCTCCCCATCTCTGTACAAACAGCAAACACTTCTGGAAGGAATTACACTGACATGAGCAAAAGCAGCTTTGAATCCACAGGTTGATGCCTTGACTAAGGACCATTTTACCTCCTGCATCAGACCAGCCGAGGCCAAATTCAGACCAGGAAGGCAAAGAAGCAGCTCTGTTAGAGCCAGTGAACTGGACTGGTGAGATGGAAGCAAACAGATCCGATGCTAGACAGGGGCTGAGTGGAAAGGCAGGCACTGGATCCAGTCTTTGGCTCCCTTTCACTGTCTCTATTAATGTTTCTGGCATGCTGCTGCAGTAGGAAGTGGCATGAAAGTGAAGCAGATGAGTGGTTTTCTGCCATATGCTCCACACCCTCACTCACACCACTGTACCTGACCCTGACTTCAAGGAGATGCTTTTTCTCCTTCATCTGCAGCATTATGCCATGGCCACTGCATGAGCCTGACCAGCAGCCTGAGCTGGCATGCCAAGCCTCCTGTGCCTACAGCCTTCCAGCTGAGGCTGGATGCTGCACAGCTACAGAGCAGAGCACAGCCACGTGAACCTCCAGACGGAGCTTTTACACCCTGAAGGATGCAAAGCCCCCTATTGCAGAAAAGCCCCATCCTCTCCAACCTCTGCCTTGCCCTATTCTCACCCCTTCCAGCACGACCTGCCCTGCATGCACCCAGCCTCACCTCGTGGACTGCTTGGCCAGCATGGCCACGTAGGTGATGACAAAGCTCTGGAACTTGCGGCGCTGCTCCTCCCAGCGGTCCTCCACCGAGTAGTAGTTGGGCAGGGGAGCCCCAAAGAGGATTTCGCTCCGCAGCAGCGAGCTCTTCATGTTCTCTGCAGACAAGCCCTCATCCACGTACCAGTAGAATTCAGGGTGCGTCATGGCCAGCTCCAGGGATCCTGCAGCAGAAAGCAGCACCGCTTTGGTTAGGTCCTGCTTAGTTCACTTGGCAAGGCACAGGGCCTAGCGTGACAAACTGGGAGTGACCCTGTCTTTCAGCATGATGTTGACTGCTGCTGCCTTGCACAGAGCAAGAAGGGCTGGGGAAAGCTCTATTGCAAAGGCTCACATCCCACTGTGCTGCCTACATGCAGTTTCCCATCAAGGACACATCTTCCACCTGACTCCGATCTGAACCACAACTCCCCCCAAGCAGCGATGCACACATCCCCATTGATACTCCCATCACTGGATGCACTTAGTTCTTGTACACTGGCATGATATTTGCTCCATCAAGCAATGTGCTTCTTGGGAAGCACAAGAACTAAATACTACCCATGGAAGATGAGGAGTCCTGGCTCTGCTCTGACCTGGTACCTCTGCCATCTGATGGTGTGAGGGATGCAGAGATGAAGGCACTCAGTTCTGAGCAAGAGACACTGCCTGTCTGCCCCTAAAATCCAAGCTCTCTTCAGTTCACACCGGAAAGGCCCAGAAACTATGCTCTTTCCTGTTTTGGTAGCAGAACTGTTACTCACACTGAAGCAGATGGAGTTAATTCCTTGCCTGCTCCCTATGTGGCTCCTGGATAGCTGTCATCTGCAGCCTGTGCTTGGGAGACAGATGGAGGCTTCATCCTACAGCCACATCACACCCACAGACTCCTCATGATTCACCTCTTTTTCACCATCCAGAGCCTCTGCTCTACTAGAGGGAGACAGAACAAGGTATGGAGCTGGGAGGAGGCAGGACCTTCCTCCTCCTCTTCTTATAGGAACCTTTCCAGCTGGTGACTCACAAGCTGCCATTCAAGCTCCAGAGCAGCCCACAGACCTCTTTCATCTGCTCTGCGGTGCAGGGAAGTTCATCCCTATTGTCTGTCCAAAGCCTGACATGCCTCTGGTTAACCACAGTCATGTACAGGGGACAAGAGTCAGCAGAAGTCATCTCTACAATGCAGCACTTCCCCCTCATTTGTCCCCCTCCCTTGCCTATTGGGGCCTGTGTGACCCATGACTGGGAACTGCAGGGACTTTGCTGAAAGGGCTGAAGAGGGGCCCTAGCACAGCAAAGATGATTCCTCAAGGCACAGTGCAGCAGCATCTTCCTCTCTGCACAAGGCAGTCACCTGTCTTAGCTGGAGATACATGCCTTAAACATGGCAGCCCTCAGCTCACCTTGTATGTCAGCAAGGTCTTGTCCCATGCCATCGTAGTAAATCTTCCCTCCTCTCTCAGTGGGGAAGAAGTAGGTCATGAGGGAGCTGGGAGGGGAGCAGTAGGAGTAGGAGCCCAGGGGCAGGTCCTTCAAGACCTCATGGGGTTTCCAGCAGAACTCCCGGAAGCGAGGGTGATCCATGATCTTACGCTCGACCTCATGGATGGTGACCAGGCGCTCAGTGGTGAAGATGTTGTTTTCAGAGTCCCCCCTGGCCAGAAAGATGAGCTCAATGCGCCAGTGGGCATGAGTCTGTGTGTTGGCACTGATGTAAGTGCTGGAGTAGTCCCAGCGCGGGGCACCCCTCGCAGTCCGGGAAGTCCTGTTTCCTGGGTTGAGGTGGCCATGGGGCTTGGGGGAGCTCGTCCTGCCCTGTGGGGTGCTGCGCTTGACCCGTGCGCTCACCCCGAGGTGGGAAGCGTTGAGGTGAAGCTGCTGGAGCTGCTCAAAGATGAGCCTCTGCAGGGTTTCAGAGGTGAAGTCAGCCAGGTCCCGGCGGTTCCTGCCCCACGACCCAAACTGGGACTTGAGGGCCAAGGCGAGGGCATCGAAGCGCTGCGAGGATTCGTGGTTGCGGATCTCAAAAGCATTGTAGGAGATGTCAATATCCAGGGCTGGGTAGTGGAGGAACATGACAACAGCAAGCACAGCAGGGATGGCACAGCCCAGGAAAAGGATGAAGCCAGCACAGTAGGGGTTCGTAAATACCCATCCAACAATATTCCAGAAGCCAGACACAGGCAGAGTGACACGCAGGGGCCTGACTCTGCAGGGGCTTCTGCCACACAACAGCGCACCCTCACGCCTCTTCCGTGAGCTGAAGGCTACCTCTTCATCTTCCTCCTCTAGCCAGGCATCCTGTAACAAGGGGTCATCCTCTGTGTCCATGTCCAGTGCCTGCACAAAGAGCAGAGCAGTCAGCAAGGCCCAGCAATGGGTGTCCCCAGGCACAGCCGTGAGCCCATAGCAGTTGCCAAAGGGTCTCAGGAGCAGAGCCAGGAAGGAAGCAGGCTCCAGCTCTCAGCAAAGCAAGACTCCTTTTAAACCTCAGCCACTGAAGGAACAGAATCCGGGTATCCCGCACCCTGCCTGGCAGAGGAACCGGGGAGAGGAGCTCAAACCACAGCCCCAGAGCTCAGTGCTGTGGCAGAGGAGGGCTCTGCATGGTTCCAGGAACACCAGGCTAGAGTCAGCAGGCGATTCAGTGTGCTGCTCACACTGCAGCAGGAACGTTCAGTTAGCTAACCTGGTTCTCATGCCCAGGAACAATCCATGCTACCAGATAAACAACACAATGGACCCCATCTTCCTCACTTTAAAACTGACAATAGCTACTTACAGCTGTGTTCATCCTTCCCACAAAGGCACACGTATGCACACACAGCAGCACATGCAGACACACACGAGTGCATGCACTCACACGTACCAGCCTCCACAGAGAACTCGCTGTGACCCTGCTCTGGTCCCTCAAGGGCTATCCTCCCTGACCGTGTGGGACGGGAAAGGGCTGAACAACCCTGCTTCCCTTCCACCCCTGTTGGATATTGGTTATGGAATGGGTTTTCCAAGTTGCTACGGAAGAAGCCAGAAGCAAAAGCTGCTCCTGCAGCCGTGGAATGAGCAGGGGGAAAACTCACAGCTGGGAGGAAAGCAAGAGAGACCCCCCCAGGAGGTCCTCTCCTCTGCAGGGAAGCAAAGCCAGCAGCCCCCATTCACAGATGAATGAGCAGATTCAGTTTGTTACTTGACCCTGATAGCTGCAACCAATTTACACACAGGCCAGAAGCAATTTACCAGCATTGTTCCTAACCAGTGTTTCTATTTTAGCAGGACTTGCATCAGCAGAAGATGAATTGCCAGCACCCCTTAATTCCAGGTCCTCAGAAGACCTGAGAGCTGCCTGATCGTGGACCAAGAGCAAAAGCAATGAGGCAGAAACGCTCCTGGGCAGCAGAGGGATGTGCAAAGGAACAAGGGTCACAGCAATCTCCTTGGCTCTGATCAGCCTGGGTGATGCCTGTGGCTTTGCTCACAGGGAGCAGCTCCCATAGGATCCGTTCCAGTCTGAGCAGCATCTCTGCTGGCAGGCTGGGCAGAGCAGTCCCAGCACTGCAGAGCCTGTAGCCTGGAGATGGGAACAGGAACCTCTGAGCTCCAGCCTTCTGCTCGCAGCAAGGCAAGCACAAATGTCAATCCACGGCTTTAATCTGCAACTTGTATTGTCTCAAACCAGCCCATCCCTCCTGTGAGTGTGAGGGCAAGGACTCTCCTAATCCCTTGCCATGGTCGGGTTCACGCAGCAGCTCACCCTCCTCAGCCATGCTGCAGAGCTGTGCAGGAGGGCACATGGAAGCCTGGGCTGGATCCACCTCCTGCTCTGTAACCTCACTGTGCAAAACCCCAATGGGTACCACTGATGGCAGAGGGCCACAGCCCCTCTTCTGCCAGACCTCCAGCCCTCAGGAGGCCAATATGGGGAGGAGAGGGTGGCTCACAAGACCCTGCTGCGTTTTTTCCCCCTTTGCATGTAGGGCTGTTAGACAGCAAGAAGAGAGCCGAGGGCGAGGGGGTGGTGGTGGTGCTATTTTCAAGTCTCTGGAAAGGTTAGGAGAAATCTAGCTCATTTTAGGCTTCATTAAGATTCCTTTAATATTCAGGATTCTCATCCCATCTGGACAAGTTGGTGTGTACATGCAGTTCCCTCCATTCCATCCAGCTGCCTCCTCTCCCATTGCCACGGGCTCTCTTTCAACAGAATGGAGTCACTGCAAGACCTGATCAAGCATATGTATTCTCTCTTTAGAAAGAGGTAAAGAGCCATAATAATTTCCCATTTATTGAGCTACAGAGGAGAAGGAGGGGAAAAGATTCTAATCCTGAAACAGAAGAGCCTGCACGTGACAAGAAAGGGAAACAAGGGACCGAGATAGTAATAAGCCAGCAGAAAAAGGGATCATACCATGTTCTTTGTTAACCAAGAGCTAAATCCTCAAATCAAGGAAGGGATCAGACCTCAGGCACCTCCCTGCGGCTCTTCCCTCCACTCTCATCTCATAGTGACTGCAAAGCCCACCTTATGGGCACCTATGATGTGTGAAGGCCAATGCATGCTACCTTCTAGCTAAAGACTGGTACAAGTCCTGATGCTGGTGTAAATGCCAGCACAGCAAATGCTGCAAAAGCCACAAGATCACATGCACTCACATGAGAACAGTCAGGGAAGGACCAAGATCTGGTGCAGGCAGAATGGCAAGGGCAGGGTAAGTGCTGTCCCTGATGGTGCCAGCCTCCCTCTGCATGCAGTCAGCACCTGCGTGCATCCTGCCCTACTTCCACCACAGCTCTCAACCCTCTTCAAAAGAGAGTTTACCACATGATTCAGCTACAAAGCCAGACACAGCTCACTCAGCACTGCCCCTGGGACTCAACTGGCTTTACCATCTCCGTCAGATCCTGCCTGGGTCAGGATGAAAGCTTATCCAACCCAAACCACAGCAAACTGAACTGGTGGGGAGAGAAACCCTCAAAGCAGCCAGAAAGGGAGTGGAATGCACTTTTTCTGCTTATATTCTACTTATATTTCTGCTTATATTTCTACCTGTGTTCCCTCCACCACTGCCCAGGGACTCCAGGCACTGAAGCATGGCCCAGCTATGTTTTCCATTCCAGGATATGCACAGTGGACCTAATCCTGCAGCCCTCAGAGCTCTGCTTCCCTTCTGTGCAAGCTTAGCTTGCTCCAGGTTGGAAGGAGCAGAGCACAAGAGCCCTCCTAGGAGCCCTGGCTCCATTTCTTCAGAGAAGAGGCACTGATTCATCCACTTTGGGTGAGCATTTGGATTTCTTGGGCTTCCCTCTGCCCCTTCCAAACCCAGCAGGCTTCCTCCTGGTTCACACCAGTCAGGACCCTGTAGGGTGGCAGAACCTCCTGTGAAGGTTCCTGGCTCACATTTAGGGTGCTGCTACAGGCACAGCTTCCATTAAGTCTGAGAATGGGAAATAAGTCCAGGCAAGGCAGTTGGTATATAGATACTTTAAGTGAAAACCTCCACCAAAGCTGAGCCTGCACAGCTCGTGCTCAGCTCACCCACCTCCTAGCCTGGTGCTGGCACATGTTCACGCTCATTCAGCCAGCCAAGAACCACTTGGAGATGGGGAAAGGCAAGTGAGCTGCTGAGTCAGCAGCACAGCTGAGCTTGGAGGGAGCTTGTAAAACACCGAGCTGGAAAGGGAAGGTAGGAAAGGGATTCAGAGCATAAAGCACCTCCTCCTTTAGCATTCAGCCCTCAGACTGCTGGGCAGTTCCAGCATCCTCCCAGGGTGAAGATCCTTCCCTCCTGAAGGAGTGAGTTCAAAAGCTCCATCACAGCAAAGAGTCAAGGGGCTATGAAGAGACTCACATCTTCCAACGCTGCATTGGTACAAAGTCACAGCTTTATGGGAGGTACGAATAAAGCCAGGATCCAGCTGGATATGGTTTTCCTCTTCACAGCCACAACAGCAGCGTGGAAACACAACCAAGAGGAAAACAAGGAAGGACTCTTTCTTTTTCCACTTCCAATGGGTACTTCTGTCCAGAGGCCATCTCACATCAGATGTGAGCCACCAACCTGCAGCTGACCTCAGCACCATGGCCATGAATGCTACCAGAGCCCAGTGGAAGATGCTCACCCCTTTCCTCCATGGATGACTGTCACAGATGAACCAGAATGGGCCTCTAAGCCTCTTGTTATGAGCACCCCCATTCAGCAATTTAACCTGGGCATCCTCCACATCTTGCTGTAGCTTCCCAGTCTGATCAGAGTAATGAATTAGGCATTTAAAGCACTGCAGGGCTGTGGAGCACAGGGTAGGAACAGTTACAACTCCTGTGAGCCTGACACACAGCAGAAAAGAAGGGACAAAGCCAAAGCTGGGGGACCTTCGGGTCAGGAAGCGTTTTGCCCTTGACTGCAGTAGTGGAATCCAGCTCAAACCACAACAGCCCCGCAGGGATTATCACTCACTTGCACCCCGACCAGGACAAACCCCATTGTAGCTCCCATATGAGCTCCTTTGCAGTGAGATCAGGATAGAAGGAAGCCGCTGACAAGTTGGGGAGAGGCAGTGACAGACAAAGAAGCTAATTACAGCCGACCTGGCTAATTAATGCTGAATTCCAGATTAAAATCCCCTCACTAGTGTTCCATTTCAATTACTCAGTTGTTCCTTCTGATAGGAAAAGGGAAGCCTTGTGCATCAGCAAGCGAGGAAGAAAAAAGGAAAGCAAGCACAAGACTGGAAGGGGAGGGAAAGACAATTTCTGTAATATGGGAGATTCCTATCGACCAAATAATTAAACTTCACATTCCTTTCTCCCAGGGGCAAAGCTTTCAGAGCACAGCTAGCAGTTTTGTGGGCCTATTTGTATGCCTGAAAACTCTTGGAGGTTCTACCAAAGGCAGCTTTATGGCCCTTTGTTAGCTATATAAAGTTCCTCTGAAAGGGAGAGAAATGGCCTTTGTGCTTGCAGACTCATCCAGCTCCTGCTAAAAGCTGCCTCTCTAACGATGCAGGGTTGATGGCAGGGATGGACACAGCACCTCCCAGGCCCTGTTATGCTGGAAAACACTGTGTAAAACAACTGCAGGGCATCATTAACGTACACCCCCTCTAAAGCAGGGCTCCACAGTGACACTGAGACTCGGGACCAGAGATCTGCTCTGCACTTGAATCACTGAGACTTGTCCACAAGTAACATTTTAAAACACAGCCAGAAAGGGATCTCTGAGGTCCCTGTTCTGCCTTTATCAACACAGCTGTATCCTGGTGCATGGAATAAGCTGTGTGTTGCCTTTTGCTTTCATGAACGGGAAAACAAACCAGTAAGGAGGAACCAGATACAATCTCAGGGCCCC